TCAAGTTTTGTGCAAAAACGCATGATCGCACCGGCTCGCCTGGTGCGTTCCAGCCTACGTTACAGTGAGAGAGGATTCATCGCAAAAAAAGACCGGGCTTCATACAGGAAGCTAGTAATTATGCACGCTGGAGGTCCATTTGGCCCACAGTGCAATACCTTTATCCCAGCCGGCGCGCTTTTCGCCTGCGTGCGGGAAGAAGTCAAAACATGAGTAAAATAAGTCCATGAAGTCAAAACATTACTAATACGCGTGATCGCACCAGTAATTTGCGTAGCAGCCTGGTTTGTTAGGCATTTCGCATTTTATGTAAATGCAATACGCATATTGTCAGTGTGTGTGTGTGTGTGGTGTGTGTGTGTGTGTGTTTATGCGTGTAATTGTATGTGTTTTTGTGTTTATTTTTGTTTGTGTGCGCTTATTTGTTTTGTATGCCTGTTTGTTTTGTGTGTGTTTTGCGTGTACGAATGTTGTGCATGCGGGCATGTGTGAAGATGTGAAGTTGTTTATATAATGCGTCCATTCGCAACAATTTCAGGATCGAGAAAGCATGAATCCAAAGTCCAGATAATCGCCATGTAGGTGAATTGTTTTATGCGTTGACTCATCCAATAGTGCGTCTATCTTATCACAGCGACGGAGTAAGAAAGCGTAATTCACTGGGCAGGGCACTAGGCAAGGTAAGCAACCTTGCCGATAAAAAGTAGACATCGTGCATTAGTGAGTGGTATCCACAAGAGAGAGATCTACCCTGGCGGCTTTCGGCGAGGTAGTGTACATAAATCGAACAAACGGTGGGTACTAAATGAAGGTACACAGTCCAGGATTGAAGGGATTTTGCATAGCTTCTGCCAGCAATCCAGAAACATCACTAATATGGGATACCAAAACTGGTTTTTTAATACTGGCTCATCCATACACATTCGGACTAGCTAATCGCCTAAAAACTTTTGGTCGAGGCCTTCCTGACCTACGTGTGTTATTCTATCAGGTATTTGCTGATGTGATTTAGAATGTTGGAATTGACTTCCACCTAGTTTATGATGTTGTTTTTGCAGAAATTTGCTTTGATTAATTAGTAAGCATTTTGCCAAGTGAAAATCTGACAAGTCTGCCAATTCGCTTTGTTTACTATTGGTAGGCATTATCTCTCTTTTGTCTTCATCAGGCTTGCCAGAATTATCGGTATAGGAAGCGTTAATGCCGTTCAGTAAAAGCTACTCAATTTCCTTTATTTCTTGATCAGAGACCTGAAAACAACGCAGTCCAGTATTCGCGATTAACGTCTCCAGACGCTTTGAAAACAATGTTGCATTTCAGAAATGTAGGGAACAAGAAAGTGGGGGAGAGGATGTAATTTGATTCCATGAGCACTTAGGAATGCTTTGCTTTCATTACTTGTCCTCTTTGAGACTTTTTTCCGCACCTTTTATTCTGCCAAATGCTATAGAACTCATCCCCATCCTGATTTTGCACGTACTGCTCTAAAAGCACTTTTATCTCATGCTCAAAATTGCTCCCCCCGGAAGAAAATCCAACATGTAACAGTGATTGATGATTGATGTTGCTACTCTCAAAAACTTTCCTCAAATTTTGCCTTAGCTCGTCAAAAAAGACTTGACATTTCGCTTTTTGATCAAATGGTAGAGTGGCTCAGATTTTTCAAAACGGAAGCATTCCTACAAGAGGGTTTTTTTTCCTTTTAATGTTTTGAGGAATGCACTTAGCAAAAACGCTTTTTGTTTCTTTTATTTTTTGCTGCTTAGACTAGCTGCAGCTCATACCACTGCTCCTCTATCTGTTAGGCTGTGAATTTCTCTAGTTACTTTGGCCAGCGGTGCATCACGGTGGTCAGCTTGCAGCTGGTGATTCTGATGTTCATTTCGTTTCCTGAAGAGATAGGCATTTCAACAGTTCTCATGGCAGAAGCATTTGACAAAAAATAAAAAAGTTTTAGCTATTTTGCAATGTCATTGGTGCGAATTGTCGTCATTTCATTAGTTAGCTAAGCAAAGATTTTGGACTCTGAAAAAATAAATAAATTTTGTTTTTATACTCAAAAAATTAATGGATGCCAGCGGCCTGACTATCAGGCGGTGCTGCACCACTTCGATCAAAGCAAATGGAAAGTTGCTGAACCTATAAGTGAAGCACTAGTCTATGAACCGCGACAAATCCGAGCTCGTAAATTAATAATACTTTGAGGATTGCAGAGCCCTAGTGCTGCTAGCTTTGATGGTTGTACTGCACCAAAAAAATTTTTTTCTTATTAGAGTTTAAGCTTGGAAGTAAAACATGGACAGTGGGGATTTTTTGAATTTATCATATTATCCCGTTCTGGTTACACTCCATCTTTTTTCAACCTCTTCTGTTTTCGAGAATTGCTTTTTCTTCGGGCGGAAAAGTTCAGGATCCATGAGGATCCCTAAATTTCATTAATTGGGATTAATAAGCTGCCGGCGCTTGCTTAAACGTGTGAGCTGCTACTGATTCCTAAAGACAAATTTTTATTTAAATGAAATTTTCAGGATGATTCTCACAGATGATATGGAAAGTGCAATTGTTTGGCTCTTCTAGCTGCGAACTACTAAATGAATAGGTAAAATTTAATTATTACTTATCAATAAAAATCGTAGAAAAACAGCCATCATCCCAATTAGAGACTTGTTCAGCGATTCAGTTCCAAGGATTTAAGCAAAGCACCACAAGGACTAACCACACAGAGGAATAGGAAACGAGCTTTTACAATAATCTGCTGTTACTGTACGGTTAATTTCCAGTAAAAATTAGCGTCGTAAAGATATGAAAAAATGCAAAAATAATGAAAGGTGTGAAAAAATATTAAAAAATAAAATAATGAAAAAAACAAAAATTATAAACAATATGAGTAATAAAAATTATAAATTATGAAAACGAATCAAAAAATAAAAATATTTTTTAAATCGCTCCTATAAAAAAATTTTGATTTCGCAAACGATATTGCTTTAACTTTTCATTTGTCACAACTTATTTAGCTTCAAAACAAAATGTGCGATGATTTATACTTCTTTTTGGTTCTCGAAATATTTGATTTTGGAGCATGCATTTTCGTTTTCATCTTATTTTTATGCTTTTTCATTTGTGACTGAAAAATGGCTCTTCCAGAAATTGCTAGAAATTGTTTTTCCTTTAAAGCGCCTGGAAAAAATTTTCTTTTTTCGAGAAAATATTACGTCACTGAACTATTTTATTCTGGTTGAGTTACTCAGAGCTAATCTGTAAGTAATGTTTCAGTTGAAACTCGCTTTTAACCTTTTCAGCACCACGGTTTTTAGCTGTTTTTCCTGGGATTTATGCAATTCTCTTTCTCATTTTGCATCTTTCCTTCTTTATTTCTTACAGTTTTTAATCTGTTATCTCACAGTTAGTTTGACGTTTCTGTTTTCCCGCCTGGCCGATACCAATTTTCCATCGGAACGAATGAAGGAACTGCGATCTTGTCGATGAGGCAATGAGATATTTAGCAATTCGTTTATTTGTTTCGATGGTAATTTGATACTGGCATATGCGAGGGATCAAGTTTGCTTGTAAGCAATCCTCGAAAGCGAGATCCATTGACAGATCTTGGTGATTGCTGTTGGTACTTGCTTCAACTTCGGCTGCTTTTGTTCTTCCGTCTTTCGGGGGTAAACAACCAGATATGGGGGTGGGGTGATAGACTTTTGAGTTTTACTTTGATAAGCGCGGAAACTTTTTTGTTTGATTTGCTTGTTGATTTTTTGAAAAATCATCTATTTAATGTGATTGTCATGGTATTCGGACAAGCAAATTCATTTATTGAAAAATTCCACGGAAAAGTGCTCGACAACATTGCAGGAGAAATAATATTTTAATCCGCCTGAGTGATCACTTGAGAGAAAATTGTAAATAATATATATGACCGAGTCAATTATCTTTCACAGAATGTTCACGACTCCTCTGGAAATCTGTTTAAAAGTAGTCAAAGAAATACTCTGCAAAAATGGTCATGCATTCAACTAGAATCTAAAAACTATGCCAGGACCGAATAAATACATTATACGCCTAATATTTCTAAGTGACAAAGTTACTTTTCTGGTTGTCTCACGCATTACCAATAAATGACGACTTGGGCGGCCTGCGAAGAAAATTTTAGCTTTTCAGCTCTTCCAGTTGTCGATTTAGCGATTTTCCCGCTAAAACTTTCACTTACTCCAACATGAGACTTAAGTGTGCGTGAATGTTGGTACCGCATTTCTGGAATGGCATTCGCTGGCAAAATTTTGGGGTTAGAACTTGCTTGGCTGTCAATTTGAAGTATCCGGGCAGGCGCATGCATACCATACAAAATACCTACGCACCACGGGTCGTTACAACATACGTTTTGCATTTGTATACATGCAGAAATTATAAAAAGTAAAAATCAAAACCTGGATAAAGCTTACTCCGTATTCACCCGCTGTAAGAAGCGGAAGCATTCTGGAATATGTTGAGGGTAACAAGTGCTAAACTTCTTCTTTCCAAGGGTTGCTTAGAATCAAGCTGAAAAAAAAATATAAATTTTAAAAAGTGCAAAAGACAAAAGGACTTGCCATAGCTGCACTCATCTCGTTTAAATGGTTTTCAGCAGCATCAAAACTTCACCCCGAATATTCGGCCAATCACAGTGATGAATTCAAGTACCCTCAAGTCCTCTTTGTTGCTAATTCCAGCATTCACCCTCTTGAAGGATTTGCAGGACGACGCTGCACGGGCCACGAGCCGGCGCAACATGGATGCCGCCGTTGCAGGCAGCTCATATATTCGGCACAATATTCATCTCAAGCGGAATTGCAGCTATGATATTCAATGCCACTATCTTGGCGGTTCTGTTTCGTTTGAGGCGCAGTATATTCTCGAATGTTTTCTACATACTCATCTTCAATTTCGTACTTATCGATCTTCTCAGAAGTTGGTACCATTCAATCAACAGACTGGAAGAAGGATTAAAACAGAATAGGAAAGGGGATGAGTGATAAGTGACACAAATAACATAAGCACCGATAGACATATTGGAGAGCAGTCTTTGTTTCATCCCTTAGCTGTAAACACAGGCAGATTACAGTGCGTGAGCAAGAGCGGAAATCATCACCAGTACGGCCTCTTCTATCCGCTGCGCATATGATGAGCATGTTTGAGGGATGAAACAGTGACAGCAGAGTTTTTTCCTGTGTATTTTTTCAAAAAAAGTGTGTATTTTTTCAAAAAAAGGTGGCACCCTTACTGACGATCTTAATGATTTAACTGATATTGCTCCAGTACCCTTGAAAATTTCTGGTTTCGTCACAAATACAAAATTCATATTGAAATATGAGTAAATCCCCTTATCTCGCCGAAGGCTCATTTCAGTGTACTTGGCCTGTGGCTGGTTTTTCCAGACGTCGGTGATTTTAAATAGGCCTAAGTTTGGAACACCAGAAATGGGCTAAAATGCCCTTTAATTGGATCTAGTCATGAAATTTGCAGGTATTTGTTCAATAGTATGGGCGCTGAAGCTTTTACCAGTGGGTATAAGCTCATCGATGTATTTCATGAAAGCGGATCAGCTAGCTCTGATGATTCTGCGTTTTTCAAACTTAGCAACCATTTTGAATCTACTTATGATAACACTCAACGAATATATATACATTGTTTACCCACTACGTTACCGGCAGTTTGTCACGAGGTAATTGAGAACTAAAACTGGGATCAAAAACGCAGATTTGTAGAAACAAGACGAATATCAGGATCGCTGCTGAACTGATAGCAGCAGTGGTCAAAGCCAATAGAAAGGATGATAGCTGCGTAGTTGAAGAACTGGGCAATATTTACAGCTTTTCAAAGTATTAAGAGCATCGTGCAGGATAATTACAAACATTTGAAAAAGTGAAATTCGATAAGCAGGACTTATTGTTCGCCCCGCCGACAGCCGGTAGCCATTTGCGCACCAATGAGTGGTACCCACGAAAAAGAAAACGACCACTTCTGCGAATTCCGAAGAGGTAGCACATATTAAGCAAATAGACGATGGGTACTAACTGGTGGCATGCACAGACCAGGATCGAAGCGCCTGGCGTAGCTGCATGGGAGCATTCCAATAACTTTATCAATATCACTGATGCGCAAGGATCATTGTATTTTGTGTTTTATAAATTTTATGTCTTTTCTACTGCTTTTTTTTCGCTCATACAGTTCTTATTTATCTTTCCCATATGTTACTTTCAGTTTGCGAATAGCACTGTTGATTTCAATTTGTTGGGGTGTTGCGTGGGCGTTTACAATATCCATTTTGTTTAGTGGTTCACGGAAGCAATCCATCTATATCAAGCCTAACTGCATCGCAAGAATGAATCATCTCGGTCGTACCCGTAAGCAGAAATTTGCAGTTAATTCAAAAAATTGGTCTTTAAAGAAAAGTCTCTGAAATTCGCTTTATAACAGTCGAAAATGCAAGACGTAAGCGAAAATTGCAGAAATTTAATTTGCGGATAACTGCGATGAAGTAAGGATTAAATGGATCCATTTAGTGGATTTTTGAAAGTGTATTTTTTACAACTCTTCATTCTACGATTTAATGTGGGCTCATCTTACTAAGCTATAGTTTGCTGAACTTTTTCAAAAAAGCTTTGTGAAAACGCGTCAAAAATTCAGCTGAAAAAAATACAGACCGAAAAAAATCCAGACAACTTGCCGAATCACAAACTAAACAATTTTAAGTCCAGCGTCAGCGAAAAAAGAGCAAGAAAGAATATCGCCCAAAAAATAATATGTACGTTGTCCCACAGCGATGGGATGTTCCTGGGTCAGTTAGATTCATAATTCTGCGCAGGAAATTTAGAATAACTGCTCAGGAAAAAAGGTCAAAGAATGAAAAATTTTGAGAAGCAGGTTTTCGATTTCAAATACATTTTGGAGCAGATAGTTGCATTTTAAAAACATAAAAAACGGCCATATAAAAATATATTACATGTTCTGGCACGTCATTTGTACAGCTTGTTGGCAATTTAGCAGCATTGTTTGCCCATCATTTGTAATGCATTCTGTAAAATTTATTGCTCGCTTCTGTTTGCTTTAGAAACCTCTGCGCAAAATAGCTGATAGCTAAAGAAGAAAAAAAAATTTGAATTTTACCTAATCCCTCATTCTTTCTCATTTTGGTTGTGGAACATCAGAAAAAAAAAGCCTGATTTTTGCAGGCTCAACGGTAGCTTTTGACAGCAGTGTGACTCATTCGGCACATTTGCCATCTTGTAAGTTTCATTCAATGAATAATAAACTGAGTTAGGACCTTTACAGCTTGACGAGTTTTAGTTCTCCACTTTCATTTCAGCTTCCTTTTTCTCCTTTATTCTCATCACACCTGCCTTTCTTTTCTTGATTCTCTCGTTTAGTTTTTCTTGTTTAGATTCTTGATTCTTAATTCTCTCGTTTAGATTCTCTCATTTAGATTCTTGATTTTCTCGTTTATGAAATTTGACCGCTCATTCTCGATCAAATTTCTTTTTTTTACTTTTATCTTCTTACTTCCTTTTCCATAACCATAAGATACCCAAATTTAAATCACAATGCAAATGGTGTTAAAACTGTTTGGAAACCATGCAGTTACCGTAATTGCGTAAAGACACCAATGGCGATAAGTTAAAAAAAAAATAAGAAAACACATAAAAATTAAAAGTACAGCTACATTTTGGTCCACTAACTCGCGTACATTTCTATTCTGCACTGCGGTTGGACCTTTCAGTACAACGATTGATTAAGAGTAACTAAAAAAATAGCTACGCTCATCACATTATTGACACTTGGCATCGTAATCTCATTTCAGCAAAATTTGTAGAAGTTTTCTCACTAAAAACACTTACAGCACGAACATGCACATCGGTTGTTTTGTCTGTCTGTCTATTTATCCAAAGCGACAGTTCGACTCTAGGGCTAAAAAAAACTGTGGAGCTGAATTTTTGCAAACTTAATCTCGAGACATATGTACGTCCAAAAATATGTAGATTTTATGTCTTACGGCTTGAAAATGTGCTGCTTTGCCATTTATTTTTGAAGTGTCCGAATGATGTTTGTTCTGCTCAGATGCAGAAAAACATGGCTATCGTCATCCTAGGCAAAGTAGTAAGTTAATCAAAGTGCATAAAAGGCAATCAAGAAGTGAATAGTGAGCGATAGAGACGCGTATTTAGCAAACGCTAATCGTGGAAAGATCCGAAAAATTTTCATTTTTCCCCGCTTATATCAATAGATTTCTTTTCGAAAATATCATGTTAGCGAAAAAGCTCAACTCTCAGAACTTCCTCCTTTTTATTTCCTACGTAAAGGGAGAGCGGGGGGGGGGGGG